CCTTGCCTTCTAGGGCCAAGGCCACAGCCTAGCTCTTCTCTCTACCCTGAGGTCTAGTAACCCACCCCTCCCTTTGCATTTTTGAGGCCTGTGAAGTTGGTGGTGCCAATAAGAGTCTAGGGAAAGGCTACTCAGAAGTAGGGTTAGGGTAGAGGCCAGACCTAGATATTCAGGGGACAGAGTGAGGTTGGGACCAGGGCCTTAGGAAGTGAGACCTCAGGTCACCGGCTAAGGAACTGGACTGACAGCCAAAGGCTCCATACCCACAGGTGTGCACAGGTGTCCTGGCACAAATCTGTCATGTTGCAGCTGACTTGACCATCAGAGCCCTGGAAAGTATAACCTGGGGCCTGCTGGAGGCACAGCAAACTGGTGGGCTTCCAAGGAAAGCAGTTTGAACACATGCTTCAAGGACCTGAGCAGTGTTCAGTTCTAGAAACCTCACTTCAGAAAATTATTCCAAAGAAATAAATCAAGCAAAGATGTTCAGTTCAGTATGCTAGACAGGAAAATGGGAAAGCAACCCAACTGCCCAACAGGAGGTGAAGGGTTAAGAAAATTATGGCCTTGATTAAAGCAGACAACCATCCAGCAAGTAAACAGGAAGGCAAAGAACTTATTTATGATTTAACATCAGTGTAAAAAGGACATGAAAAATTTCAAACTTTCTGTGGTTGTAGCTTCCTTATTAAATCGCTTAAGGGTGAAGCAGCTAACAAGGGACTGGGAGTCTGGAGGCTGTTACTGGCACTAGCCACAGGCCCACTGGGGGCGGGCAGCCCGGTGGGGCCTGGGCCCCTCAGCTGGCTTCCCAGAGGCCCAGCAGCTGGACCATCTCCTGAGCAGTAGATCCTGGGTGCTCTTTAGGCCATAGCAAGGGCCACTGGAGGTGTCCCGCCTCCAAGACTGGGGAAGAAGGGGGGGAGGACACAGAGGCCTGCCTGCGGGATGTCTCACAGTGTATGAACCACCTCCCCTCCCAGTCGCATTCCAACTTAAATCAAAAAAGGAATATAGCCTTTTTATTGACTACTTTAAGTAGAACAAACTAAATACATATTTAACAGTTTTGGTTCATTTATACAGTACATTAAATAAGTTATGCACAGAGTTAAGTAACAAAAGTTCCTATCAGAGAAATGACAAAGCACAGAAAAATCAGACTCTACCGCATCCTGTGGGTGGTTTCACATTCATTGTTTCCCTTTAAAAACCACGCTTGGAGGCTGTTTTTCTTATTTACTTACATTATTGGCTTTCTTTTATAAATGGAGCTTTTGTAGTCTCATCAGGAACTTGGAAATCTGTGAAAGTGGACCGAAGGCCTTTTAGCCAAACAGCACTTTCAACTACTCGCCTAATGCTTATTGCTGCTTCTCTGACGACTCCCAGGCAGGGACAGGGCTGTCCCTGCTGGCCACTAGCCACACACACCCTATTTGGTATAAGCATCAGTGAGTGTACACTGGGCAGCAGGGGCTCTGACCAGATGGGGTCTGCAGGGGAAGCACCATCTCCATGGCTGAGGAGGGAAGGGGGGATGCAAGGCCCGCTGCCCTCAGGCCTCCTAACCTTCTCCTGGCCCTTGGCGGAAAAGGTCACCTGCACCATCATCTTTGGAAATGAGCATGTCAATGCATGTGGGCAGAGGCAGGGAGTCAGTGTTTTGGTTTCACAAGAACTAGACACCCAGAGTTGGAAGAGCCCTGTTGGGCAGCTAGCCCAGTGCCCCACCCCACCCCAGCAGGACTCCTGACAGCTGGCTGTCTGCCCACGCTGGAACAGCCCAGGTTCCTCTGGCTTTTCTTACATTTGGTTCAAGCGCGCCACCACCCCGTTCTCTGCAAAGAACTAAAAAATAATAACTTTAAGAAAGTTGGCTTGGCCTACTGACCCAGGAGTCTAGAAACCAGTTCTGAAGAAAGCCTCCAAGATGTGTTCTATATTAAATGGTTTATTCAATCCACACTCCCTTCCGCAATTCCCAGGACAACAGCCACCTGGTCATTGCATATGCTTTCATTCTGAAGAATTCACTACCATGCATTTCCAATTTGTATTGTTGAACCTTCAAATCCACCTGCTGAGATCTTTTCTGGAAACACCCAGAACAAGGTCTACACCCTCTGCAAGCAGGTGACTATAAATTGGACTTTGGAACAGGCCGCATGAAGTGTAGATTTTCTGTCTGGAAGCTGAAGATGTTCACATTGACACCAAGAAGTGAGGCGCTACCGGTAGACCAAGTGGCCTGGACGGGCCAAGAACATCAGCGTGCAGAGGGCACACTGCAGCCAGGGCCGGACATGGACCCATGCTGGGTAGACATGTCATGTTTCCAGGCTCAGATCCATTGAGAGACACATATCACTCAGCGCTGTCCAGGAAAATACCCACTTGCTGTGACCTTAGAGCCGCATGATCCCTGGAGCTGCAGAGCCCTCCCACGAGGAGCGCTCACACCTCATAAAGTGGCGGGCTGGCTATTCCTGCGCAGGTAGGATTAACAAGCTTCTTCTGGGGTCAGTTTTCACCACGGGGTAGAGTCAGGCATGCTGCAGGCAGTGGGCACCCAGAAGGTGACTGAAGATCTGAGGAGCCAGCCCTCGAGTATTCCTCGGAACACTGAAAGATGGCTCCCACGCTGGCCATTTTGGGTCTTTCCTGGTTCCTGAAACCATTTCTCACTGGGCAGGACAATGATACGCCATCACCTGTCAGTGTCCCTCAGTGGGCGATGCTGAACGCTGGCCTCATCCTCCAGATGTGCTCTGACCATTGGGCAGGCTCGTGTCACACTTGCTTTTGACTTCTAGGGTAACATCGAAGAGCCTGTGACTGCCCTGACAACACCTTCAGTACCATCACTCTGAATCCTTCTGCCTTTTTGTCCCCCAAAATATTAGCTATAAAAGTTGGTTCTCTAAGCAGCCTGATTATATAAAAATATTTAAGATCCAACTAGATGAAGGTGGGAAGCCTGAACTTGCACCTCCAACCTGGTAGCTGGGGTGGTGTCAGCAGAAACTGGAAACCAAGTGGGGAACTCTGACTCATCCCTGCCTCTCCAGCCCCATCACCCCACCCCAAGACAATGCCGTTCCTCCACCCAACCAGAGAGCTGGAGAATTTCAGAAAGGAGGGAGCTAGAGAAAGGGATTCTTTGCATCTAAACAGTAAGTCCTGAACAGATGCCTGCAATCCATGTGTGAAACTGGCCAAAATTAACACAGAAGGTCTGAGAACTGAACTAGTGTGGAATACTGCCCAGGCTTCCAGTGTGGACTCTGGGTAGCACATGAGCAAAGCAGTGACTCGCATCACAAAAGCTCTGAAAACTAAGCTGTCACAGGAACCACAGCCCACAGTCTGTGAGGACCTGACAACTAAACCCTCAGCATAAGAAAATGGCATCTTGATGATAGTATTTTGGGTCTATTCCGACCAGGAAAAATCTACCTGACTGGTCTTGTGGCCACTTAAAACTAAAGAACCTGCCCTGGCCAGTTTGGCTCAGTGGTTAGAGCATCGACCTGTGGACTGAAGAGTCCTGGGTTCGATTCTGACCAAGGGCACATACCTCGGTTGCAGGCTCAATCTGCACACGCGGGTGGCAACCAGTCGATGTCTCCGTCTCTGTCTCTCCCTTCCACACTCTGAAAAGCAATGGGAAAAAAAAAAATCCTCAGGTGAGGATTAAAAAAAAAAAAATTAACGAGCTGCCTAGGTGTTCATCCTACTTACCAATGAAAAGACAGACCTGGTGGACGCCATGAGACACTTTCTTGCTGTAACTGATTTATAGGCTCCATGGCCTCCTTATGGGACATTCCACATCTTATGAAAATGTAGGCAAGTCCCATCTGGGGTGCTGACCTCATCCTTGTTAAAGTCAGAACACCCCACCAACTGCTGTGGCTTAAAGAATTCCAAATCAATGTAACATTACTGTTATTCCTTCTAGGGGGACACTTTAACTTTGTGCAATGGAAATATAGGTATTTTAAAGGTACCTTGTACTGAGTTTCTTTACAAGATAGAAAATCCTTGGATGAGGTAAATTAGGGACTAGAAATTCTTAAAGATACACCAAATGCAAGGACAATGCTACCTATGCTGATTACTTCTCCTTTATAGGACTGCAGCTTCTATTTCACTCTTGTCAGCTCACAGAAGGGGGCGACCTAAAGCTGGGCTTTCAAGTGCCAGCTGGAGCAGGGCTGACCAACTCATCCCAACTAATTCTGGGAGAGAAGGTGCTGGAGGCGTGGAGGAGGAGAGGTCAGGAGAAAATGTGTGTGGCAGTTCTTAACATTTTATAAGAGGTTTAGGTGATGTCATATTTGGAAAGCCAGGTCAGCAGCTGGAAAACTCCCTGAAGACAGGAAGAGAAATTGGTCAGGCTCTCTCAAAATGGTTCTCACGTTTCACAAAATTTCTTAGCTCAAAGTGGGAACGTATCAAACATACAAGAAGGGAATCTGAGATTGTGTGCCCAACAATAAACTGATGTAGTTATGCATAATGACATGAAACCACGAGGTCTGAAGAATTCTTTCCAGTCCAGGAGGGCTGCTCAGAAGTGACCAGGCCCTGACTGGTGAGGGAATCCTAGTCACACCACACCACATCCTATGGGGCAGCTGTGGCTTAAGAGGCGCCAAAGAGACCGCAGGAAGGAGATCCACACGGTGATCTGGACACGCACGGTCTGAGATAAGAGGACACAGAACACGAAGACTGTGCAAACAGCCAAGTGGTGACAAAAGGTTCTGCGTTTCCAACAGATGATCCATTCAATAACATGACGATAGTAGTTGGCCAACATGCTCAGAGAGAACAGACTAATCCACACTGGGTCTTGTTCTCCCTCAGACCAATCCATGCGCTGGAAACTATTTTCTGCACAAGCAAAATCAAATGAGAGAGAAAACTGGGTCCCAAACTAAAGTAGCCAGGCAGGTTGGAAAATCTTGTCCAAAATGATCTGTGATGCTTGGTGGAAGTTTTATTTATTTTTTATTGATATGGGTGCTTTTACTGAAATGGTGACATTCCTGTGGTTTCTGAGAATCTTAACAAGTTTGAACAGCAGGGTCAAGAGAGTCCTGAGTGCTGCTTTTTGCCTCCCCAAAGTCCCCGTGGGGCCAATCAGTGGCATCTGCTGAGGGTGGAAATGGGGCTCATCAAGCTGTTGGGGGTGAGAGGGGCCACTCTTGTCAGAAGGACCCTCTCCACGGCCTGCTGTCAGACTCTGGGCCTCTGCTGCAGGAGGATAGTGGAGTAGGAAACAGTGTGTGGGGTGAGCTACCTCCAGCCTGGCTGGGCACATTCGACAGTCTGCTGCCTCAAGAGGCAGGGAGGGGAGCTGGTGGTCTACACTGGAAGGGGGCTGGCCACACCAGCTCCTGCTGGGAGAGGAACAAACCAGAAAGCCACGGAAGTGGCAGCTCCAGCCAGCTGCCTGTGTGCAGAGAGTACAGCACACTAGTTCCCCCAGGGACACAGATACGAAACTGGGGCAAGTGTCTAGAGAGGCTGTGGAGCAGTGTTTGCTGGACTTGGGTTCTTTCTGCCTCTACTTCACTTCTTGCTGATGACCCTGGTCCAGCCCTTGCTCTGTGAGGTCATCGGAGGAAGTGAGCCTGGGGCTCAGAGTCCGTTGGTGTCGATGGCTGTCACAGAGGCAGGTGTCGAGGAGCGCGAGGTGGTTGCTGAGGTCTTGTCCAGGGCTGGGCTTGGCACACTGCAATCAGCGGACCGGGCTGACCTCCCTCCAGGAAGCAGTGGCCGGCTCTGGCTGTGGGGGCTCTGGCCATGCAGGTTCTGGCCACAGAGGCGGTGGTGCCGCTCCCAGTCCTTATGCTGGCAGAAAGAGCCGCAGTATCGTGCAATATTGCAGCCGCTGCAGGTTTCGCTTGCTTTGCGGCCACAGTTCCAGCAGTTCTACAAGACATAGGCAGTGGTTAGTTGCTTGGCTATTATGGGGCAGGCTTGTTATCACCTGTCACTTGCACTGTAGAAAAGGGGGCTTGGAGCCACACACACCTGTACTTGTCCTGCTTCTACTGTCTCTGCTTTCTGAGTTTCCTGAGTAAAACAGGAAGAGTACCTACCCAACTGAGGGGACAGTGAGATGAGGGGGATGTGAAAACACAAGCAGCATCATGGCAGGGTGGGTGGAAATCCCACCTCCTGTTACAGGCACTGACTCACGTTTTATTCCTCAGCAACCGCACTAACTGTCCCAGGGCCCCCAGCACAGTTGGCTGGCTGTTCCAAGACCACACGGCTTTCTCTCTCGGTCCTCCCAAGAGAGGAATAATGCTATTCTCACTGACAACACCGGATTTTCTAGACAAGTCACCTGCCAGGGGACCGGGATGGCTGGACAGGGGAGTGGGTGGCTGTGCGATGTCCTGTGCCCTCTTTCTTCTCAGATATGCGCCTGTCACCGGTGAGCTGTGGGTCAGGAGATACTCCTGGCTGTCTGCAGGAGCCCCTGCAGTATCTCAGAGCACAGGGCCCCCAAGCTCTAGGTCAGGAAGTTCTCTTACTACCCTGCACTTTCTTAGAGAGGGACAGGTATTGCTAGGGTCTAGCAGAAACCACAGGGGAGGGGGAGTGCACATATGAGAACGCACTAATTCCACGACACAGGACAGGAGCCAAGTGAGGTGTGGTTAGAGCTACAAGTCACAGCCATGCAAGCAGCTGAAACCTGCCCCTTGGTGCTCTCCTCCTTTCTCTAGATTCCAGTGGGGACTCCAGCAGTGATACCCAAGGTCTCCAGCATCCACTTATAAGAGAAAAGCCTTTTGGCATTGGCCAGAGGAAGCTACCAGGAAGGGGCAAGGGTTTCTTAGGACTTGAGCAGCCCTTCTCTCCCAAGTTCTCCGGAATGGCAGAAGCCAATCACAAGGCCCATTCTGGCCACTCCTTAGAGAAGGACACCATACCCGATGAAGTGAGGACAATTGCTTAAGTGAAAACCAATGGGATAAGTGTCAAAAAGGGCCACCTGGCCCACCTCTTGCTTATACAGATGGGACACTGAAGGCCTGTGGGCAGGAACTTGCCTGAGGTTACAAAATGATTACTTGGCCCTGGCCGGTGTGGCTCTGTTGGTTGGAGCATCAACCCTTGCACCAAAGGGTTAGGGGTTTCACTCCCAGTCGGGACACATATGGGAGGCAACCGACTGATGCTTTTCTCTCACATTGATGTCTGTCTCTATCTCAGCATGTCCCTGAGTGAGGAATAAGCAAACAAACAAGAATCAATAAAAACATATCTTCAGGTGCAGATTACAAAAAAAGATCACTTGGCCACGCAAAGCCCGGAACCCCAACCTCCTGGCTCCACTACACTCAATGTAGATAGTTAGTGTCAAAGAACATTAGAAAGGGCAGTCTCCTCCCTTCTAATACAACAGGCTTCTCAGGAAATACCCTCTAGGGGCTGCCCAGACTTGCCAGCACCAGCGCCAGCAGCAACACCAGAGGACCAGAGGAGGAAGCTGAAGTAATTCCTAGGGCTGAAGCAAACTCCATTCCAGAGAATGTCATACTTTTGGGGGCCTGACAGGCTGACCCCAAACAATGCTTTCGTGGAACATTACCACTCGTGGGGAAGACCACAGTGGTCATCTACATGGGGCTGCTGTGGAAACACAGGCTGCAGGGTCAGCCCAGCTGAACGGGGAGCCTCTACTCCCTCTGCCCATGCCTGCAAGAACTTCTCAAACCGGGCAGAGTATTAGAGCAGCGGTACTTTCGCCTTGGCTGTTGTTCTATTTAAAAATAGCTTATTTCCTAATTTATGGAATATAATAAAGTAAGGAAAGGTAAACAGCCTCCACTGAGGGAGGACACAGACATGCAGGAGCAATGCGGTGTCAGGGCAGCCAGGGTGAAAAGGACACTGTCATGTTCCCATTCCCTGTGAATTTTTTCTGACTAAACCACGAGGCTTTTGCCAAGATGTAAGACAAAAAGGGTTTATTGTTGTAGTCGCCCTTCAAACCAGCATTCCTCAAAGCTGGAGCAGCACACTTGGTGAAACAGCTAATGGGAGAAGGTTATAAACCTTCTGAAGCACTGGCACGGGCAGTCAGAAATGGGATGCTAGATTTCCTGTCAATCACGGGCCATCAGTTTATGGCAGTATTATTCCCAGCGTGGCCCAGGGACCACTTGTATCAGAACTACCTGAGGCTTGGCAAAATTCCTGGGGCGCATCCCAGACCTCCCTCACCTTCCCACAAACTGGCCCATCTTACGATCTCCTGGTAGGCCAAGCTGCCTGCCAGGGAAGCGAGGCTGGGGCAGACCATGCTGTGGGGGTGGGGGTGGGGTGGGGTGGCTCACTTCATCTTCCACCCAAGGCAGTCCAGGGGAGGTGCTGGGAGGCCCCGAGGAGGCAGCTGTTCTGCAGGGGTGGGAGCTGCCATGGCTGACACATGGATGCTGTTAACCACAAGGCCCTTCCCATCCACAGTGCGTTCAGAAACACGAACACAACCATGACCAAACTGTATCTTCCTAGAAGCTATGAGACCAGCAGGACAGGGGCTCCATACACCCCCTATACAGGGAGGGAAACTGACTCTGTAAGGTCACACTGCCAGTGAGGAGCAACTGGGATGGGAACTCAGGGTTGCTAACCTCCAGTCCTGGGCTCTCTCCGCTATCCCAAGCCACCTGTCACAGGGTAAACAACAAACTCCAGGGTTACACTGCTAGACTTTAAATATGTACAATATTTAAAATTACAGCTCCTCAAAAGCACTTTCCCATAAATGGAGAGCTGGGATTTAAACCATGCAGTCCAGATCCAGAACTCATGCTCTTAGCCAAAATGTTACACTCCTTCTTTGGAGACAGAAAAATATAAACAGATATGAAAGTAGATAAATATGGACACATATATGATATTAATATGAATAGCTATAGATCTAGAATTAAATACAGACTTAAATACACACAACAGGAAAAGATATCACTGCTCAGAAACAATTCTAAAGAAAAAGTAGGAGGGGAGAGTTAAAGAAATGATATCCCCCCCCCCTCTGAATCTGAACTTTAAATATGACTTCTGATCACATTTCTGACAGCAAGTATAAAACTGTAACACGTATTTGGAGAAATCACATTCTCACCAATATAACCATTCACTCCTCTGAAGCCTGGTATCAGTACACAGTCTACAGGGTAAATACAAGGAACTATTTTCTCACACTCTGTCTTTGTTAGAGCACTGCAATACAGAGTTTTCCACACCCTCTGTGATGGCCACATATTTAGACATTTTTGTCTTTGCATTGCCACGCTTGGCACTGCTATATTGAAAGGGATCACTTAAGTAAATTGAGAAAATAAACTTCCTGTTGTTTAAAAAAACAACAGACCAACTAAAATACCCAGTTCTTTATAACTTCAAGAGAATGTCCCACAGATAACTAATTTCTCAACTAGTAGATGGTTATCTACCTACTTAGGAAAAAAAAAAAAAAAAGGCTTGTTTAGGACTCTTAAAGCTGAAAAGCAACTAAAATGAAAGTTAGAAAAAACTTCATTATATTTGAAAGGACTGCTATGGTGTTTTTGTCATGTCTCCGCCCCCCCCTTAGTTCATGTTTATTCTCATTGTGGTACAAGAGTGTCTTATTTTTCCTGAAAGCATCACCAAGTCCTGGACCATGGGTCTTGGAGAGTTGGGCAGGTCCGCCTCATCTGTCACTTCCACCCATAAAAGAACTACCCTATTTACAAGCAGACCAGATGCTACAGGGTCTCCTTTTCCTTACTCCTGCTGGCTTTAGCACTGTGGGCAAAGTCCCTAACTCAGTTTCCTCATTTGGAAAATCGAAATCCAGCAATACCCACCTTGTAGGGTCATTGTGAGGATCAAAAAGACAGTATACACTCTTAGCTCTGCAGCTGGCACACAGTGCATAAGCCCACTCAGTCAAGGGGAACGTCATCATTACTGCGCAATCTACAAACTATGTTTTTAGGGTGAGTTTTCAAAATTTAAACCAATGTAGTGAGCTAATATATGTAAGAATATAATGCAGAGTGGGGCAAAAGTAGGTTTATAGTTGTGAGTACGCAAAATGCAGTTTATTTTTTTAAAAATATTTTTTATTGATTTTTAGAGAGGAAGAGAGAGGGAGAATTATCGATGTGAGGGCAAAACATCGATCAGTGGCCTCTGAACACCCCCTACTGGGGATCGAACCTGCAACTTCTTGGTGCATGGGACAACGCCCAACCAACTGAGCCACACCAGCCAGAGCGACAGAGTTTATTCTTGTATTATTATTTATTAATTACTGTATTATTTTCCATATGAACTGTAAACCTACTTTTGCCCCACCCTGTATAATTGAGAAATAAAACCCCTCTGGTACTGGATAAAAATTATAATTGTCTAGTTCAAGAGTGGATGTTCTGTCTCATTGCTTAGCACTTAAGAAGAAAGCAGCGGGCTGGCTTGCTCCAGCTGCCCCAGCCCCAGCCCCAGGACTAACAGAACTCTACCTCCGTTGACTCCTCCTGCTCGTTTATGACAAGAAAGGCGTCCTCTGCGGCCTGCCGTTTGACATCTGCTATGGTTTGCTCCATCCGAGCTCGCTCTGTTGCAATCACCTCAAAGGCTTTTTGCTCGGCCTCAGCAACAGCTTTCTGCACCTCTGACATGGCCTGGATTTTCACTTTATTCACAGCTTCTTCTGGAAGAAAGGGGCAGTAAAATCACCTGGCCGAGGATTACTTTCCCTCCCATTCCACGTCACTTCTAAAAAGGGACAGAACTGAAACAAGACGATTTTTTCTAAAAACACACAAGGATGGACATATGACACACGCTTTCACTTTTATTCTTATGCTCCCTTGTCTATTCATGCAACCATTTGTTGGGTATAGAGATGGAGGTAGGCACTGTGCTAGGGACTGGGGACACCTAGGTGACTACTGTAGTCCATGTTCTCCTAACTGTGATAAGCACAAAGGTGGCTTAGGCGTCAGCATAGGAGACAAGAGACTTAAGGGAAAAGTGGTCAGCTCTACAAGTGGCAGAGGAGGACAAGAATGTGTGTCTTGGTGAGATGGTAGGTGGAGTGAATTTTTGGAAATTCTTGCATCTCGGTTAAGGAATTTGGCCCCTTTTCTAAAGAAAATGTGAATTCTAAAGGGTTCTATGCAAGGAGAAAAGGCTGAGGACAGAGATAACAAGTGAGAGACTGGGACAACAATTTAGAAAGATAGAACACATCTGAATTTAGGCAGAAGCAAGTGGCACAGAGGAGGGGATGGGGCAGAAGAAGACTGGTAGCATCTAAGGGTCTGGAGGTGAAGGTAAAGGGGAAGAATGGTGGCGTCATGCAACGAAACGAGTAATAAGTAAAATGCTGGTGTGGAGGCAAGTGAGAAGGTTGCAGTGCCTCTAGGGCATCCAGGTACAAATGAACAGGAGGCAGTTCGGTATGTAAGACTGACCCAGGTAGAGAAAAATGGGCCATAGATACAGGTTTGGGAAGGTCGCCAGGAGCCCTAGACTTCCAAAGCCCTGTCCAGTTACCATCACCCCACTTGGTTCCTGATCACTGTCTCCCATCATCACCCCGCCTGGTTTCCACAGGATGGACTCTCCAAATGACACACTCTACGTACCAGAGCCTCAGCCCTAAGTCTCAATGTAAATGACCTCCCTCCTGAGACCACAAGACTGGATAGAAGCCTAAGGAAGCTCCCTTGTTGCTTGGCTCTTTCATGTGGCCTATGCTCAAAGGAGGTTTAAACAGTGCTCTAGGCTGCATCATGGAACTTTCCATTTTATTGCTCCAGCCTTAAGGAAGTTTTCACCTCAAAGGCCAAGCAAGAATGATACTGAGTTGACTTGACACCGAACTCCATGCTTCCTTTACTCTTAATGTCCACATGGTCCATTGTGGCTCACCACAGCTACCTTTCATATCCTCTTGTTAGTTACCAGGTAGGTGTTAAGTCTCTCTTATTGAGCCAACATAATAATGCCCTGAAGAACATTTATCCTCTCAGTTTAAGGATCAATAAGAATCACAGTTTGGATAACTAACTTGCCTAAGGTCATTCAAGGTCACAGGTGGCACTACAGCACACAAGGACTCAAATTTAGCTGGCCCAATGGCACAGCCTGGTTCCTAATCATAGTTAACCAAAGGTACCTCCCAAGTGGAAAATCACCAGCTACTAAGGAGACCTTGTGCATGGCAATTTTTCTGTTTGCCAGTAAGAATGAACATTTTGCAATACATTTATCTGTATTCTTCATAATCTGTTTGTTCATATCTTTTGTCCATTTGTTTATTATGGTCTTGATGCTCTTGAAAGTCTTTATGAATGACAGATACTCTTTGTAGAAGCAAATTTTATCTTAGAAAGAAAAAAATCTATATTGGACTAAAAAAAAAAGTTACTAGGAAAGAGAGTCAAGAAGAAAAAGGCAGCTAGTATTTGGATAAGGGAAATATTAAGGTTAGTTTAAACCCCTATCTTACCACAATAGGCAGTCCACCCTTATTCTTGTAGAAACTGAGGCCTCCCCAGAACAGTCTTGATGAAGCTGGGGACAGTGAAGGTGAAAGAAGAACAGACAGTTGTTCCAAGAGCAGAATGAATGAAATGTGATAGTGTGTGAACGCAGTGTGTGTAGATTCTAGTGAACAGACCAGGAAGAAATGAATTAAGCCACATGCCCAGAAACAGGGCATATAAACAGGGAAGGAAGAGTTAGTTACTTATTGCCTCAGTGTGACCCAGAAAAGGGTGTGAAAAGGACCTGCATGAACTGCTCTGAGGCATTCCAAATTCTTCACCTGCAAACTAACATGAGAATCATCCAGATGTGTGGGAAAGCTCGAGGGAGAGAGGCAGGAGCCTAGGGCTCTGTGAGGAGGTTGTTATGAGACAACCACCTTTCCCTCAAATGTGTGCTCCCATACTGGCATGAATTAGTGAGTACATGCAACCTATAAGCACAGAGACATACCAGTTTTTTTCCAAAACTCCACAGGTACATATCCTGTTGCTGGCCTACTGTTGAATTCCCGCTGAGAATCTATAGAAAAGAGGTAAGTAGCATAGGGTCAGAAACTATCTGTGATAGGCATGTTTTCTTTTTACGAAAAATATACCAGACCTCTCATTCACCACTTAGACTCAAACATGTATGTTCATTTAGTGCAAAAATATTCTGATAAGAAATAAAATCAGATTATAAAACAGCACACTTAATTTTTACTTTTGAAACACACACATGCATGACTCAAATATTAACAGTATTTCAAAGTAGTGAGATTAAAAGTGATCTTCACTTTCTTCTTTTAACTTATCTATATATCCTTATTTTTCTCCTGTGAACATATCTGTATTTTTAACCCTTTGCGGTCGTATTAAATTTGGACATGGGTGTCGTACTGGTCGGAATTAAGAGCTTTCAGAGAAATTATGAACTGATACATGAATGAATAGAGTTAAGATTCGTACGGTTCCTTGCTGTGGTGGCTGAGAGCAGACATACAACCGGAACGGCAAAAAAGCTTTGGTGGCTGAGAGTAGACAAACGACCGCAAAGGGTTAAGGTACTTCCTAAAATACAAGTAACTACAGATATTTATATGTTACATGTGTGTGTTTTCATATCAAATTGAGCTGTCCCTATCATGCACAGGGCACTGGCAACAGCTTTGTAGGTATGTCAGAGAATATAGCTTTTGTTTCTCGGTGAGTCTGAACCCTTACAAGTGATTTAAAAAGGTTTCCTGTCAACTTCTTTAAATGCTTATAAACAAATAAACAAAAAAAACAAGCAGTGAAGAAAATACTCTGATCTGGAACAGTGCATGTCAAATCTAACACAAAAAGGCATCCTGGGGGTTGCTGAGAAGGACACAGGGGTGGAGGGTGATTTATCATGCATGTTTATTGCGGCTGTAAAATATATCTTATAAGAAATGGTTCCATTGCTTCCAAAAGGCGAAAACTAATTAAGGTAATTTGAATGTTTTTGTTTTTTAATGTCAGTGCTAGTGGACTCCCTCATTTAAAAAAAAATTGATTTGAGAGAGAGAAAGAGACTGATTTGTTGTTCCACTTAGTTATGCATTCATTGGTTGAGTCTTGTGTGTGCACTGACTGGGAACTGAACCTGCAACCTTATCATATCAGGATGACCTTCTAACCAATTGAACTACCTGGCCAGGGCCTCCCTCGTTTCCTTATGCTTTGTTGAGGCTAATCTGAAAAGGGGATTTATTGCTCTGAACACTCACCAACCCAGGAGAACAGCCAGTGTGCAGGGGAGGCCAGTCTAGCACAAAACATTTGCCAGAGAAGCTTTATAAAATGGTTAGTCCTCATGAGAATGCCTGGGAACTGGTTACAAACTGGTCTTGGATAGGGAGGGAAACTGCACAAAGAACCTACTTCTGTATCCCCCCAAGCTGTGAGGGGATTAGGAGATTTTTTTTAATCCTGGAAAATACACATAACATTTACCATTTAAAAGTGTGTGATTCAGCGATATTTTGTACAGTAATAATGTTGTACAACTACCATCCCTACCTAGTTCCAGTACATTACCATTACCCTAAAAGGGAATCTCTAAGTTTAACATTTTGATAGTATTAATACTTTTTGTGATACTGCACTCTCTAGAAAATGCTATCATCATTGCCAATAAAAAGAAAACTGAAGGGCTCTTTTCAACATAGGTAAGGTCTCTGATTCAAATTTCATACCTAAGTATGAGATTTATGAAATACAGGGCAAAATCTAGGACTGGAAGAAGCAAAGTAACACAAGCTAAGGAGAAGGTAGTAGATCAATTTCAACTGAGTCTTAAATCAGGAAGCCAGTGAGAAAAAGTGTTTTTGAGTGTGTAGATAAGCCATCAATGATGTTAAGTGAAAGAAGAAACACTCGTTTACTTGTGAAGACGTGGGTTAAGTCTTGACCAATCAAGGAAAAGCCACTATACTTCAGTCATCAATAAGCCCTTGGTCATTTCCTTTGAGGATCTGCCCAGTCCTCAGCATTTTATTTTTCTGACAAATGTAAAAGGTGAGATGCACCTGACCCTAAAGGAACTTTTCAGCTTACTCAGATTTCGAAATGCCTGGAAACTAGGGACATTTTCATATTTCCCAAAGCTAGAGACAGAAGTCAGAATTTTCAGGTGGTTCACTAAGAAAACTAGAATTTCAGAGGCTATTGTAATCAAAGGTCAGACAGATAATGCAAATAAACGCTCAAAAATGGGGGACTGGTAAAAAAAAAAAGGTCAATAAATGGTATTGTTGGTTATATAGGAGAATGCTCTAGTTCTTAGGAAAACAGAAGGAAGCATTTAAGGATGGAGATAAATCTTCAGTGTGGAATAAGCTAGTGAATTCTTTATATGTTTCTATATTTTCTATAATAAGCCATGCAGTTTCACGAAAAAAAAAAAAAAATGACTTACCTCATGAGGGTGTTTGGAGAATTAAACGATAATGTACATAAAGGAAGGCTCTCAACTCTGGGGGCCCAGGTTCCAACTCAGATCAATTAAATCGGAAACTTGAGGTGGGGCCAGGATATTAGGACTCTGAAAGCCCCCACACGGGTTCTAACGGGCACTCAGGGTTAACCACTAAAGAAAAGTGCCCAGCTTAGAACACAGTGTCCATGTTTAAATGCCTTCCAAATCAGACTTGGAGCATCACCTCTCTGAGGTCATGTGTATTTTCTATTGTAACAATGGTAAAGCATCTTTTTAAAAGCTGATTCTTCTGGTATTGCTGGGAACAGCTTATTTTTTCAGTTTCAGGCATTATCAACTGACTAGCTATTTCAATAGGAAATTTACTCTTTTAACTTCTTCCCCTGCCCCACCACAGATACATTCACAATTCCTTCTCCTTCTACTTCCCAAATAGAGATATACTCAAGTTCTGTTACACCAATAGTCAGCATTTACAGTACTCAATGTGAATGCTTATCATAGCTGAGACTTATGGTTCAGTCTACGAATCTTCTTCATTTATTGAACAAGTTTTATTTATTTATTTAAAAATATATCTTTCTTGATTTCAGAGAGAGGAAGGGAGAGGAGGAGAGAGATAGAAACATCAATGATGAAAGAGAGTCACTGATAGGCTGCCTCCTGCATGCCCCCCATGGAGGATCGAGCCCGCAGCCCAGGCATGTGCCCTGACTGGCAATCGAACCGCGATCTCCTGGATCACAGGTTGATGCTCAACCGCTGAAGACACTGGCCGGGCAAGTTTTATTTTTTGTTTTCCTTAGAGTTAATAATTGCCTTATTTATTCATGTGCTAAGTTTCTTATATAATTATTTCTAATTCAATCTCAAACTCTCTCATTAAATATTTTATAAATTTTGTTTTCTTAAAAAAATCTCCAATAAGCTTCTGGGCTAATCCAGACTGAATTGGCTGCTTTCTAGGCTTGCTGTACCACTGTAGCTTGGGACCCTCTGTCACTATCCTAGGGATTCCTTTCTGCTCTCTTTCTCCAGCTGGTTCCTATTTCATCAATTCTATGTCTTCCACCTCCTGGTTTACTTCCCTGTACTGGGGCATATCCTTTCCAATCATAACAGACACTACAATACAAGATAGATGGGAGGTGCATTTCTTGAAAAATTGTGAGTTTTTACTCTAACAATTGTTTTAGTTGAGTACAGAATTCTAAGTTAAAGTAACTTTCCTTCAGATTTATATTTATTCTAACTTTCAATGATGCTCACTGATAAATCTGTTTCTTCCACTGTGTTGTTTACTTGGTAATAACCTGTTGTTTACTTGGTAAAAACCTGCAATACTGTCTTTCAGTTCTGGGTAAATTTTTAAAATTATTTCCATAACAATTCTATCTTTCTTTCTGTTCTGTTCGACATTTCTGAAACTCATGATTTGACTATATGAGTTTCAAGGAACGTCATTAATTTTTAAAATCTTTTGCTAACTTGCCCGATTACTGGATTCATTAAACATATATATTCAGATTCCTTGGTCCCCAAATCATAATCTCTAGGGAAAGGCCTGGAATGTGTTTTTGTAATAAATAGCCAGGTCACTCATTCCCAGGAAAACTGGGGAAACCTGACAGCTGAATCAGTTTCTTTCACTTAAAAAAAATTTTTTTAAACTGCCAAAACATTAGATGACTAACAAGTTTATAAAAACGTAAATGTACAAATTAATGAAAATTTATAAAGTGAACACCCATAAACCTCCAGATCAAGAAAGAAAACACTTCCAGAAACCCAAATCCCCAACAAATAAGCGGTAAGGCTCAGTGTTGTTTAAATGATGCAAGCCAGGCTGGTAATCCTACCCTGTGAACAGCTGGTAAGATGACGAGACGGCACTCTGCACCACCTCCACTCTCCACCCCAGGCTCCCTAGAGGAAACCATTCTTTTGAATACTATGATAATCACTTGTTTTACCTTATGATTTTTGCACTTATTTATGAATCCTTAAATAAAATACTAAAATATATCCCTCGTTGTCTGAACAAAATCTGCTCCTGAAAATATTGTGAATCACAAATTTTCAGATAGAGAACCTATAATCCATTATTTTAAATGGGTAAAGTAATAATGCCATCCAGTTTCTAGTCAAGTTATCTCCAAATCACCAAAACACTTAAATACTAAGTACTTCAATAAAAATCCACCAGGGGTTTCTGCATAACCCAAAACATTCAAGACATGAACTGTCTAACCATTTAAAAGTCCTTGGTGTGTGAGTTATGCCTCAAAATACTGTTGAGTGTAAGATAGTGCTACTTAAAGTGCTGGTCTGCAGACTGTATTTTGTCCATGAAGAAATATGGAACTTACGCCAGGACGTAACGCAACTATGTCTCTAAGCACACTGCTTAGTTTAGAGGACTCTTCTCATGGCAAAGCTAATGGTGTCCAATATACACATCCTGGGGTCGGCTTCTCATATCATCACAGACTAGTAACAAGTAGTTTTTGGAGTGGTTTTGGTTCACATTTTAAATAGCACACTTTTTAAGGATATGAATTATGCTTTCCCTTCTACACTGCAATGAATATTACTATAAAAAAGAAATAAAAATATAAATAGATACTAAAAGATACTACTGTTCAAGTCAAACTGATATCCTTGAGAATTCTGAGAGAAGGAAACACTGGGATACGTGAAGAGCTACACCTAGAGCGACAGTTTATCATCCCAACTGTCCTCATTTGAGAGTGAGGAAGGTGCTAGTAATTATGATGACAGGATAACAGGCATAAACTGGGACTTTGCCAGGCAAATGAGAACATACAGTCATCCTAACTAGGCCCTCAAGCAAAGGGTGAAAAAGAGTAGAGGTTAATGCAAAGCAAAGATTGCAATCCTGGCTGGAGGAGAGCTCATGACTATGTATCTCACTTTGCATTCCCGCAGACTCATTGATGGAAGGTTTGTGATTTGGATGATGAACTTTGGGTAAATTTCTGCAAGTTGTTACAGGTATTCTTTGATGTCTTGCTGTGCTAGATATCCCAAACAGTGCTGCTAATCTACGGTTGGCTCAAGAGTCACTTCTGTGGATGCAGTGGGGCAGTGGGATCCCGATGTCTTTGAACCAATCTTTTGGTAGTCTTTTTGAGGCTAACAGCTGTCTTCTGTGGAACATGCTATGTCTGTCATAAGAGATTCATTCTCCCTGGTGAGATTTGGGAGCTTGAAGTGGTGGGTGGGGAGCGAGCCTGATCACAGATGGCCCTTCAATGATCTGTATCTTTAGATAGAGCACCTTTTCAGTTATTGGGTGAACGTGATGGAACACTTTGGAAGGGATAGATGTGGCATCCTGGATGTACTCTAGATTGAGAGCACAGCTGCTGCTTTTGGGTGGGAAAAGAGAAGACAGGACACCTCAGCTTGATATAGTAAAACCTTTGGTAGAGCCCTCCAGGCAAAAGCTGATAAATAGTATTAACCTGGATGAGGAGTGAAAAAGATGAGGAAAAGTGAGGCAAACACATTCAGGACTACTGTGAGGAACAAATGTGACGTATGTGCAAGAGCCTAGTACAGTCAGCCAGGCTGAATTTAATAACAAGTATTCTTTGATCATCATCTAGCACATATACGGAGTTAAAAAAGGAACAAAATCATCAATGTTCTCATTCTCCAAGAGGAAGACAGTATTTCTTCAACATGCCAAGTACCAAGTCCTTGGCATATTTTATCATCTACTCTTCATAATCGCCTGGGTCTTTTTAACTCCACATTCTAGCACCACCTTTCTTTAAAATCAAATATAAAAAGTCAGTCTTGCCATCTTACCACTGCTGAGAGAATCTGCGCTCCCGGGACTGTGCTGCCTGGAGACCAGTTCGCCCCCCGTTTTCCTCATCTCTGTATTTTCATTGTATCGTCTTTTCCAGTAGTTGAGCTCTTCGCGATCAGATTCCTGACAGCGCCGCAGAACTGCCATGGAGCGCCTTGTCTTTTCTACCATTTCCATAATGCAGTTCAGGGCCTGAGCCAGAGAGGAAGTCAGGCAGTGATGAGATGAGGCCATCAAACACCAGTGTTGTAAATCAAGGACAGGTAAACAAAATATATGAAGAAAGAAGGTTTAAGTGTCTTACACATTCAGCAATATCAAGTTTACACCGTAAAGCCTTTATTACGGCTTCTTTTAAAATATTTATAATGTGTATAAAAATATGTGCATATATATATACACACACACAATTTACTTTTTATTTGGATTTCAAAATACTTTGGATTTTTCAAGGTTGAAGCATCCAGAGTCTCATTATAATATAGCCCTTTAAAGACTATGTGAAACCTTATATATATGTCTAAACACACCAAACCCAGCCGGATGTGGCTCAGCAATTCAGCATCGACCTAGGATCCACAAGATTGCAGTTCGATTCCCGGTCGGGGCAAGTGCCCGGGTTGCAGGCTTGGTCCCCAGCAAGGGGCGTGCAGGAGGCAGTCGATTAAGACTCTCTCATCATTGATGTTTCTATCTCTCTCCCTTCCTCTCTCTGAAATCAATAAAAGTATATTTAAAAAACAAAACACACACACACACACCAAGGCATCTGATAAAGCTGGAGATTTATCAAAAATGCTATTAGAGCCCAGCTGGTGTGGCCCAGAAGGTCCTGGTTTGAGTCCCAGTTAGGGCACATGCCTAGGTTGCAGGCTTGATCCCCGGTGGGGGGCTTGTGGGAAGCAGATGATCAATGTTTCTCTCCCATTGATGTTTCTATCTCTCTAACCTCTCCCTTCCTCTCTCTCTAAAATCAAGAAAAACATTAAAAAAAAGAAAGAACGCTATCAGAAATAACATTCAGAGACAATTTTTATCACTGAAAATACATACCACCCTTTAATGAATTACTACATTTTCTCTTCCCTTTTCAGTGAGAAAGGAAACCTTCTCTTACAATGAGACAGAGAACTCAGGCTTACGTTCTGCACTAGGATGTTAATTCTTGCTTGTTTTTGGAGAAGCTCCATCTATGTAACACTTCCTATATACCAGGCCCTGTAATAAGCACCTTACATATTCATTACAACCCTCCTGTGAATTCAAATACAGCATTCTATTTTTAAAATCAAAGAATGAATAGATTTTTAAAATTAGTTGATACACAATATTACATTAGTTTCAGGGGTACAACATAATGACTCAACATTTATATACCTTGAAGGGATCACCATGATAAGTCTAGTACCCATGTGACACTGTACAAGGTTATTACAATTATTGATCATATATTCCCTACGCTGTGTATTACATCCACATAACATTTATTTTATAGTTGGAAATTTGTACCTCTTAATCCCCTTCACATTTTTCACCTACCCCCTACTCCTACCTCTCCTCTCTGGCAACCTCAGTTTGTTCTCTGTGTTTATGGTCTGTTCTTATTAAGTATTGTTTGTGCATTTGTTTTGTTTTTTAGATTCCACATGAGTGAAACCATATGATATTTGTCTTTCTCTGCCTGACTTATTTCACTTAGCATAATACCTTCTAAGTCCATGTGTGTTGCTGCAAATGGTAAGATTTCATTATATTTTATGGCTGAATTAAAAAAAAAAGAAATGGAAATTTTTTTTAAGTTATAAAAATTAAGGCTAAAAATGGTGAAGCAACTGACTCATTACACAAAGGTAGGAAGTGGAAAGCTGGGATCTGAACTCACAAACTTCGGTTACATGACTTTTCTTGGTTATGACTTGAAGTGATCACCTCACCACAAAGATTCAGGAGTCACTCTTAGCTCTCTGGGAGAGTAATAGATAAATCAGCTTTTACTGTGAAGACACTGTGGCTCTGGTTAAGTTCACTTGAAACATACATACTCTATTACTATTGGTGATGTTAAGAATTAAAAGTACGAACAAATTAGGTCCAGAGGCCTGAATGCATGGAATAGAATGACAGATCTCAGAAGGGAGGGGGTAGAGATTAACCAAAGAACATATATGCATAGCCCATCGACAGACAACAGTGTAGTGAAGGCCTGGGGTGGGGCAGGGGATGGGTGGAGGGGGGCAAAGGGAGGGAAAATGGGGGATACATGTAATACTGTCAACAATAAATTTAAAAATTTTAATAAAAAAGAATTAAAAGTAAAAGATAGGAAAATCATACACTATCAGATTCTTACATGATCGAGGTGTTTCCATTCATCAGCCCATTCCCTTTCTGTCAAACGATGGTCTACCAACTCATCCTGGTAGCCTCCATTCAGACCTATTAGAATTTAAAGACTAAATGTGAAGGCAGAATGAAGAACACAGCAAATAGAATTCTATCAAGTAAACACACACACTTTTGTACCAACTCTGAGCACACTGCGAAGGCAACAATTTACAACAGTGTGGGACCCACAAAATGACATAAAACCAACCAAAAAAGTTACTATTGAGAACGTATTTAAAAACTTCTACAAATTGATTATAAAAGACAAAAAAAAAAAAAAGAAAAAAAACCATGCTTATGACACTTACTAAGATTGTGGTGTCTATCACGAACTTCTCGGTGTTCTAGCATCTTGTTGGGTTCACGATACAGGTGGGAAGTTGCAATATCTTCTAAGGTGTAGTGCTGAAGGGGTGGAGGTGTAGGATGGAACTGGCCCCCAGGATTCATAAGGGGCACAGTGAGGGCAGGACTGTGCCGAGGAGCAGGGCTGATTGTGCATACTCTCTTGGCAGGAGGCTCAGGAGGAATTGTATCTCTTTCAAAACTGCTGTCTTCCCTCCTGTGTAAGAATGATAAGTACATATCTGAACCAATCAACAAGTGTTCATGTAAACATGTCCTTGAGCATCTACTTTGTGCTATGCATTTTCACAAACAGGAAGACCATAAAGAAAGGTTCGACATAAGGCATGAACTGAAATGTCTTCAGAGGACAGAGAGATCATGGAAATTACTGATTTATTCCAGCAAAAAAAGAGAGGTCACATTCATCCAAATAAGGCAGAAATATCTAAACCTCAAAGTGAGAGACTAAGGAGATGACGGCATTTTCTTACATGATAGGAATATGGAGGATTAGGGATTCTAATTTGCTACTGTGATCACAGTTATTGAAAACAATTCTCCACATGGAAGAAAAAAGGCTCAACAATTAATACACTTGCGAATTGGTAGGGCTTTTAGTAATTTAGCTTTAATTGTAATAATTTTCCACTGTTGTTAAAATACTGCTTCCTTGACAAACTATAAAATATTGTTGTGGTAGACATCCATACTGAAATTTCCAAAATTAGTTAATATAATTTAATCTTCAAAGTAATGGTGATTCATTAGCAAGTATCAATAATTAATTGTTATACTTTTATAAAACCTCACATATCAGAAAAAATACCTGGGGCAGATTGTTTCTTATGGTTCTGGAACAGTGGACACACAGAATGCTATAGACCAGAGTTTCTCACCAGAGGCATACACAGTCATCCGGAGTTTTTTAAAAAAATACTCATGTCTGGGAGCTACACCTATATATCTGAGAAGCATTCTGCTGCCTGATATTGGGATAAAGTAAAACTAACCTTAGAAATTCTAAGTCCATACCTATATATAACCACAGTCATCAAATTTTCTTTCACAAGCAAAGGGGAAAGCTCAAACTGGTTCCAGTAAAGGAAGGACAAAACAAGCTCTTCTCTGCTCACCTTTCTGGACTGGGCCTCTTTCCATTTCCATGTACTTCCATGAGTAGCTCAGAAGAGTCAGCAGGTGATGCGATACTTGTGTTGAGCAAAAGGTGTTCATGCTGAGCCAAGTACTGGGATGGGGTCTGCTTGGCGGCCCGAGCACAGTGCAGCAGTTCCCGCTGCAGCAGGGGCAGGTTGGCCTTGAAAAAAAAGAGGCAGGGGCTGGAAGGCAGTTTTCCCTGTGTTGGGCCCCACACAATAGGGCCCAGCACCTCAAAAGGCTTTTACAAACATGACGACACAAGACCAAAGCCCTTCTCTCCTTGTCAGTCTGATTTTTATATGCCTCTATGAGTAAAGTGCCATCTTCTATAGTGAATTTGAAATGGCTGGTTGACTTATCTCTTGTCCCCACAAAATGTAAATCCCCTTAAGGAAGAGAATGTGCTTTATTTACCTTTGTACAGAGTCAAACAAAGCTCAATAAAGGTTTGTTGAACATAATAATTTAAAAACTTACACATTTTTTAAGACTTTGGCCAGTTAGAGAACTAGTATGCCTTCATGGGAATAGGAGGCATCTATCATTACAAAGCCTGTTTGCTCTCTTCTGGGTACTATTTAACCTTCCCTTCATGTTCTCTATGAGAACCACAGTGGGATTCTGGAAATGGTGATTATTCTAGCTTGGCTGGAACATGAGGTTTTTAAAAATAGTATTGGGAATGACTGGAATGAAGCCTTAGACTAGGCTCTGAGGATACACAGGTAACCCATGGGGAGAATCAATTTCTTAGTGTGGGACCCTCATTGGGCATGTTTCCTTATTTTATAAAAGGACAATTAATTATGTACTGATTATTTTTCCTTCCCCTGAAAGTGAGAAAAGCTTTAATGCGGACAACACACATAAAAAACCCTACACTCTTTGAACTGAACTCTAATTCCTTCATGTATAAATGTACTTTTCTCATATTCCTTCTATTTAAAAAAAATTATATTTTTCACCCCAAATTTAAAAACAATTAAGCCCTGGCTGGTATAGATCAGTTGGTTGGGCATTGTCCCATTCACCAAAGGGTTACCAGTTCGATTCCTGGTGAGGGCACATGCCCAGGTTGCAGGCTTGATCTCCGGTGGGGGGCATACAGGAGGTAGCTGATCGACCTTTTGCTCTCACACTGATGTTTCCCTCTCTCTCTCAAAATCAATTAAAAAATCTTAAAAAAAATAAAATTTTCAGACTGAGTCCATAACAGAAGTCTTTATTCCAATGGAAAAAGATGAGCAAGTGAAAGGACAGTTTTAATATATGCAAATAATAATCCCTTTACCAAGGGTTAATTTAGCAGGCACCATAATTAGTGACTGTTTTAAAGCAGAAATAAATTGACAAAAACCCAAATGCTAGCCAAAAAGCTGCCATAACAACCTACACCTCATGCTGTTTTCCAAAATAACACAGTTAAGAATAGGGAATTTGATGATATGACACTTTTTAAGTCTGTTCTATAACCTCAATCTTGTAGCAACTGTAAAAACTTACAAGATACCATGCCAGATCTTTACATCTGTGACATGTATGTACCCTTTGATGAATTAAAAAAAAAAAAAAAGCTAATTATTTCCTAATAACAAATTGCACAAATCCTTCATGATTCCGGCATCTTGGGGGAAATAATTGTGTACTGGCTCTGACATACAGAAATCCGACCAAGATAGAACTAGCACAGCTGTTTAAGGGCTGAACAAGACACCACAGATTGCTCTGAAGGGCTGAGTCTTCAATGCTGTCAGAACAGTGCTACAACACAGGCTGTGCACCACAGACCCATGCATTTTCCTCTATGTCTCCTGTGCTCCAATTTAAAAGGTTTTAAAAAATGGGTATCAGTACGTCAGTAGGATGACTCATCTTCTTTTTTTAAAAGTTTTTATTGATTTTAGAGAGAGGAAGGGGGAGAGAGAGAGAGATTAATGTCAGAAACATTAATCAGTTGCCTCCTGCATGCACCCTAATTGGGGATCAAACCTGCAACCAAGGTATGTGCCCTGACCGGGAATCAAACATGTCACTTTTTGGTGTATGGGATGATGCTTCAATCAACTAAGCCACACTGGTCAGGGCAGATGACCCATCTTCTTGATGCTATTACATTTTTGTAGGAAATGAAGGTAAAGCAAAAGAAGATAAGAGGAACATATTTATTAGGCAGATATTCAGGCTTTGTGAGTTAAGAGGTATAATTGAAGATATTATGTGGATACTCATATAGAAGATAGGAAACAAATTTCCAAGTACTGTCTTGACAAAAGTCAAAATATAAAAACAATTGAGTACAATTTTTTGGTAATATGAGGATAATGAAAATAATGGAATTCATTTGGCAACAGAGTGGAGTAAGGAAAACAATTTAATTGGGGTTCAAAGATCGTGTTCCCTATTACCAAATCAATTACAAATGTTCATTTGTAAAACCAATTCTCTTCAAGACTGTGTAAAACCATGTGGTGGGCTGGATTTGGGTCACAGGTATCTAAACTATGCCTGGTCTACAGCACACTGGTATCTGACTATAGTCTTTCACTACCTTTAAGCTATCTATAACTGCAAATTATAGATAACTGATAGCAATGCAAAAATAATTATTGTCTATGGGCTTGCATAAAATTATGTCTGGTAGATGTTGAACTGACTTTGCTTGCCCACTGTAGACAAAGCCAATTATACCTCTGTTTGCCCATTCATATCAATAAGACTGATCAATAAATGTTTCTGTTTTTTGGGTTCTCCCCTGAACTGGTTCTAACACCTTACTGAATCTATCATTAATAACAAATTAGATAAAATCGTTTACATGGGTTCATTTTTTTTCTCTGTGAGTCATAATGTAATACCTGTTTTTGAAAATTGTTTAATAGGAAAAAATAGTAACTTTACAGTGGGGAAGTATGACATAGTCTTTACCAAGTAATCAAAGTCAACATCACCAATTATGAGGCCAATTAATACCTGTCTCCTGACAGCAGTTATATCTTACCTGCTATTTACTGCCTAAAATGCTTAACCTGATTCTTATCATGAGAAAGTGTCAAAAAAAAATCCAAATGGAGGTATGTCTATAAATTAATCATCTCGTACTCTTCAACAATGTCAAGATCATGAAAGACTGAGAAGTTATTCTAGATTAAGTAGACTGAAGAGACATGACAACGGCCCTGGCTGGTTTTCCTCAGTGGTTAGAGCAACCACCCTCGAACCAAAGGGTAGCAGGTTCAATTCTCAGTCAAGGGCACATACTTGGGTTGCAGGTTTGATCCCAGTGCAGGAAGAAACTGATCAATGTGTCTCTCTCACATCGATCTCCGCCCCC